ATCTGTCGGCAAAATGGGGATAACAATGGTGACTGATGTAATACGGTTAAAGCTCTTGAGGTTCAGCAAGGAAAGACGCTTTAGAAATGCAGGGGACTGTATGCATTGAAAGTAAGTGATAAGCTGTGGTATTCGTGTCACATTTTCGTTAATACAAATGACGTAAGGAGCAAAGACTCAAACCTTTATTTCAGTGCTCAAGTAAAGACGTGAAAAAGTAGGCAGGTTTTTAACTATGCCGCTGTTTGCTGGGGGGGTGGGGGTGTCTGTGTGCTGTCACATATGGGCTTTCTTGTGAGGATATATAGAAATAGTTTCAGAGAACTGGCAAATTTACTTTCTCTATCCTAAATGTTGAAAGCAATTCAATACTCATGTCCAAAATTTTATGCTTCTCTACTGGTTGAGAAAAATCTAGTCCGGTTTTGGTACTGCTGGTAACTCCCTAGTACCGACGAGGTGGTCAGCTCCATCCAGGGACAAAATCACTGCCTTCTGCGCTCTGGTTTGCCTCTCCTCTACAGCTTTTTTTATTTCCATACCCCTGTGGCATACGTGTACCAATGCGGAATAAAACATCTGGAACAAAATTATATTTTAATACAAAATTCTATAGGAATGTCATTTCCTGAGCTACATTTCTGCTAAGTTAGTGCTTTGAAATAATTCTGTCTAGTAAGTCACACCCTAATTTTTAATGAGAGTAGCTTTTATTGGTTTGTTTCTTAATGACTTTTTATAACAGAAGGTGCATGTAAATCATCAAAACTTAGGTTTTGCTAGGGCAGATTTTTTTAATTTGTTGTTTAAAGAGTATGATGTAATTTCGATTTCCAGCAAGAAAGACAACACCCCCTGGTTATAGTAATTTCAGTATGGACTGAATAGACGAGCCCTTCTGAAAGCAGGAGGAGCACCCTGAAGTGCGTTCTGGTTTGGTAGGACCTCTTCTGTCCCATCACCGTGTTGGCCCAAACTTCTACTACCCCACCTTTAAAGAGAGACTCTCTCGCCCCTTTGTCGGTAGCGTGGGTGCGTAGGTTCCCTGAGCGGTGCCAAATCGGCGCCAGGCGTGAGCAGGGATGGGCCCTGGGCAGCGCGGGCGAGGCGGCGGGTCTGGGGACGCACATTAGCGTGGCTGCTCCCAGTCCTGCTCCGCGTAATGGACTCAAAGGTTAAGAGCAAAGGATCTCCGCAGCCCCAATCAGCAGAGCTTTTCCAGGGCTAATTACCTCTTTACTGCGCTGACTCTAATGTGACATGTTTATTGCCTTAACTAACAACTCATTAGCTTAGTTGATGTTTTTGTCAATATTAATTCGTTCATTTAAGCCAAGTCAAAGCTTAAACAAAGATGTCCAGGCTGAGAAACGGGCAGCAGAATGACTTTTGTTTAGTTCATCTTTTTCCTTAGCTCAATTTACACAAGGTAGGTGTCAGCAGGAGCAATGCTAGAAGGATTCCTGTGAAAAAGGTAGGCATATTTCATTGTAGTAATATTTGAGTAGTCACGCTTTTTGATAAGGTTCTTATATTCGAGACCTAAAATTCACGCAAACTAGAGCTTCACGGCGTGCTATGCACTTCAAGAAGAAACTTCCAGTTCTTTTGTTATACATGTGTAAGGGGTTACTGTGAATGGACTAGAAAAGCATCTCTGTTGTTGGCTTTTCTGAATGCTTATAATGACAGGCGGTTTCTTTAATAAACAAAACAAGCAACTCATAGAGGACAGTTCTGAAAACTAAAGAAAAACCTCTTAAAATCAATAGGTCGACTTTATCACAATAGCAAGCTAAATGAATGTTATTAAGAGGTAACAAATAATTATGTAGAGATAATGATAAATTATCTTTATCTGGAAGTGTTGCTCGTTTTAGCCCTCCTACACACACACACACACATATATATATGTAGTTGTTTTTATTTAAAAAATAGTCTATTAAATGAAATTATTAATCACATTTCCTCAATATGCAGAACCTGGATCAGAATTCAGGTATGTTGAAGTTTTCTGGGACATCCTTTTTCTCTCCCCCCCAGCCCCTTAAGCTGTATTTCTCTCTCAAAGAAAAAAAGGCGTTGTGGGGAGGAGGGAGAGTGAGTTGATGAGGATGGACAGCAATGCTGTGAGGTAACCCCACTAAACTGCGTGCGCGAGGGGTGCAGCCCTGGGGCCGGGAGGCGATGCTGGGGGTGGGTTACGGGGGCAGAACCCCCGGCCCCAGCCACCTTCCGTTGCTGCCTGTGGGTCTCTGGAGCCATCGTAAGGGTACTTTGAGTATCCTGTGCTCTGATGTGGGAAATTCATTCGTCTTGTAATTCCAGATTGTGCTGCCACTCTCAGTAAGGAGGGGGATCGTTGCCAGCTTTTGTTTGTTTTCAAGAAGTGATGTGAGTGGACAGTGCTGATGGCAGAGTCCGTCTTTCATGTAGATATCTGAATGGCCAGGACACTCCAGTGTAACAGAAATGACCCAAAATTCAGTTCCTTCACCTATGAGAGAGAAATGTTTGAACTTACATCTCTAAGTGACCCTAACCATCAAATACTGAGTCCTTCGAAGGTGGAGAGAGCAGTTACTGCTGAATCCATGGTTATTCTTTAAAAACACAAAGTTAGAGGTCAAAAAGCGAGGGGAACTCTTCAGTCTTAGGGGTCTGGAGCCTCCCCCAGTACTGGGCACTTTCCACCCTTTCCTGAGAGCTGCCTGTCTTATCCACCGGTGCTCAGCATTGGAAAAATGGCACGGCTCAAAACAAACGACAGCACCGCGACAGCCCTGCCCCAAGACCTGTGAGCACTGCATCAGTAATAGCAATAATTAAAAAAAAAATCTTCACATGTAAGATATGCATGAGACAAGACTGGCAGTGGGTCTATAAAAAATAGACTAAGTACATTTCCTATTTGAGAGCCGATTCTCAGTTTTAATTGCTTTTTTTATATCTGTCTAATGCTCATTTACTGAGATGTGACACTGGAATGGTGAAAATTCTACATGTCCTTGTAAACTTTCAGGCAACTCTTCTCAACATATAGCTTTTTTTGTGGGACCCACATCCGGGAGATTTCTGCTCGGGGTACGTAGGGCGGTATTGTTATTTAAATGCTCACATACTGTCGAGTGTTTCCTTAGCAGAAGGCCCAGGCACGGTTCTGGAGCTGCTGAGATCTGGGAGCAGAAGCGGTCAGGTCACAAGCAATATCCCGTTGTGCATCCCAAGACAGAGTGATACAGAGGCTTTACAAATAATTTCATTCCCTTTTCCAAATAAAGCGTTGCAGGTCTCCACGCATCTGATATTGAAAAGGTGTCAGTAGGAAGTATGTTTTGCAAGGAAGAAAAATCCTTGCTGTAAAATTGGGTATCTGGTTCCTGAATCACCCACATCTGGGAGCTGATGGTGCTGAGCATCTCGGTGAGAGACACAGGAGCTTTGTTGGATTGTTGCCAGGGCTCTCTTCCCTGCCATTTCCCCTTTGGAACTCGTACTGGGGCAAGAGCAGGACAAGCAGGCAAATCCCCTGAGCTCCTTGTCGCAGTCGATCAGCTTGTCAATACACGTTTTGCCTGCACGTTTCTTTTTGTGCCTTGCGAGAGGGAGCTGCCTTGCCGCAGGTTTGCTGGGCGAGAGCGCCAGGGTGGCAGCCAGGGGCTCTGGGGAAAGGGGGAATGCAACGTTGCACCGAGACAGCGTCCTGCTTGCGGTGGTAGTCACTGCAGCGGTGTCCCCGGGAGATAGCTTAAATTAAACGTCACCTCTCCCGATTACTGAGGTGATGTCATCGTGGTGTAGCGCAGGATTGTAATTAAAGAACAGAGCTGATTGTGCCTCTTCGTCTGAGCCCCCCGCACAGGCAGGCACGTGGCATGTTTGGGAACAAGCGGTTGTTTTGGTGGAGAGTTTTGGCGACTTCGATGACTTGTTTTTGCAGTTTCTTGCTCGGTTAAGCACATCTAGCATCACCTGCTTCTTGCTGTAGCCAAGGTACTGATGAAAATGCGTGTAGTTGCAGCACGGTTTATTTTAACTGATATTTTCCCAAGTTCAATCTCTTAAACTTGTTTTTCTTAGCCATCCTTTCAAGAGGATGTACCCTTTTTTCTGGAAACTTTATTACCTGTGTTAGTATTATTACAGATTTTCAGGGTTTTCTTAGCAAGTGTCTGTTGAAGGGAGGATTTTTTTTTTTATCATTTTCATTTTGATTTGTTTTATCATTCCAGTTTTGATTTATTCTGACTTTTTTCTGACAGTTTTTTTATTCTGACAATTCTCAGGCAAAAATATTTAGGCATGTAGATTTCTTATATTTTTTTCCAAAAATATATTTAGTACTATTTCTTTTGTAGTGAAAATACTATATGTTTAAGACTCAACACTGGCAATATCGGCATGGGCCTGTTTGATTCAGTTCACTGTGCCACTTAGACTGATGCATTCCAGTAACAAAGTGGCCGTTGTTGCTATTGAGAATGCTTTAAAATTCTCGTAGGCAGCGACTGGCAGGATTGCAGCCTTGCTAACAGGCGGCACACTTTGAATCCACCCTGTGCTTGTGAGTACCAGAACGGTCTCACGGCCTCCTGCTGCTCGTTGAGCTAAGGGCGATGACAGCCAGCATGGATGCCGTTTCTCCAAGCCATCTATACTAGTATCCTCTACCTTTCCAAGTGTCCTTAGGGTCCGCATTTGAGGGCTGCCATCCTGGATTCTGTATGAAATCCCTGGCCTGGGGAGTCCCGGGGCAGCATGCACCCCACCGTTACTGGAGGTAACTGCTACCCACAGAACCACGTCTGTCTCGCTGATGTGGGGAAGACCCTGCTGTGGTAAGCTTCCGCACTTCCTTGGTGAGATAAAGCCTTAATGTGGTGACTTATGAGCAGGTGTCCGTACTACTTGGTTCTCAACAGCAAGTATTTGGAAACAAGGCAAAACCAATTCTGCAGCTCTCTTTTCACTGTCCCATTCTTTCCCGTTCTGCACGGCAGGCAAGGCACTGACGTTTCTGCTGCTGCAACCACCCAGCCCCAAGCTGCCTGCACACAGCACCATCCGCAGAACCGCCATCGACCTCATTGGCCGCGGCTTCACCGTCTGGGAGCCCTACATGGACGTCTCTGCCGTACTGATGGGCCTTCTGGAGCTCTGTGCTGATGCGGAGAAACAACTGGCGAAGTAGGTATCTCATTTATTCACTTACAAATACTTACTTGCGTCATTTCCAACCGGTGGATCTGGGTTTTGCAGCAGTTGGTTCAAATCCTGACAGCTGTGGTACTCAGCAAGAAGGTGGGACAAGGAATAACTCCTTGTTTCAAGTTTTGCGTTTGAACCAGCAGCATTGAAATTATATGATTTCAAGTCTGCTTTAGTCTGGTCGGTTTGCAGTCTCGGGTGGCTCCGACGGGCAGTCTGGGAAAGGAGAGGGTTTAGCCACGGTGGGAAAGAGCCGGTCACTTGTGCGCGGTGGCACTGGGATGCTGCCCTCTGGCACTGTGGGTCACCCCATCTCAAACTGGGAGACTCCAAACACTTAGGAGGCGTTGCCTGGGGTTACACGGCATTAATCTGCCGGTCATATTGCTAGTAATTTTGAGAAAAGAAGCGAGTTAAACCTTTTTTGATATCTAAAATATGCCTGTCTGTCTTTAATGTAATTTTTTTTTTTTACCCTTCTTAACTGTAAAAATAGTATTTTCAGAAGGTATTTTCCACCTGTGTGTCTGAATACATGGATTTTTTTCACATGATTTTACAAGCCAGGATGTGATTTGTTTTGGAAAGTATATTTTGGAAAAGGTGGTTATTTTAATAACAGCATCACTATTAATAGCATTAAGGTAACTTATTTATGTTTAAGGATTGCTAAGAAATTATAAACTCAGTAGACCACAGCTTGTCTCTAGGGTCAGAGAACAACTAAAGTGTCCTAAATCAGGATTTATATAGTATGCTCTCCGGTACCTCTGTTCTAACCGCCTTGAAATAAACTCTTCTTGCAATAAGGTATTTGTAGTTGGGGGAGGCAGGGGGGTGTAAATGTTGTGAGGAAGTCTGCTACTTTGGCATAACATGCACAGCAAAAATGTTATACTGGGGTTTTTTGAGGGAGGGGGATTGTGCATGGAACTCTAAGTGCCTACTTGTCCCGTTTCTTAAAAATTACTGTAATTGTACAACTTCTAGTTACATATACACAGGTACATACACAAGTTGTTGCACTTGATAGTGCCATGTACTATCAGTCATGCCATCAAATAATTATGGCTGGATCAAATAATTATGGCTAAATGTATAAGTGAAGTCGTTAAGATGACTTATGTAATAAAGGTAGCGTCTTGCCTTTTTTTAATGCATTTTGTGTTAAGATAATGGGATTCTTGAGTATTAGTGCTTAGGATTTATTTAATGTGTGCAACTTTGCAGGACATGAGTAGCATTTTTGTTGAGTATCCATGAATTTTATGAACTGAGACCTAAATGTAATAAATTTCAGCTGGGGCCCTGATTCTCACATGAACAGTCTTTACTCACACCGTTAATCTGATTAATGACAGCAGGACTATTTGCACAGGAAAGAGTTTTGCAATATAGTCCTTATTTTTATTATTGTTTGTTGTAAAATTGATCATCTCTTGTAAAATTTATTCTAAATCTCTATCTGAACAATTTTTTCTGTATGTAGTTTTTATTAAAAAAAGCAAACCACTTAAACGTGCAAAAGGAGAGGCTCTGATTTCTGTGTATAAATAATGAAAAAATAAAAAGTCACTATAAGTAGTGCCTACTCTAGGCTTAGATGAAATGAAACAATGATACTATGCTTTATGTAATTGGCTTTGAAAGCTATTTCAAGCTTCCTGCTTTTAATGGAAAACCTTGAAAAAATATAAGTGGATATACATTAGTGCCGCTGAGACAAAATTTTCATTTGTAGGTACACAGCTCTTGCACGGAAGCACGTTTGTCCCCGGTTAGGACATAGAAACTGTAGCTCCTGCTCTAGGTGGAGGATTGCCTTGAGCAAATACAAATTTCATCTTTGTTTGGTTCTCAGTATGAATTAATACTGTAGTATTAAAGTTCTGCAGACATCCACTTGGGAAATGGCTGTTACTAAAAATATTTGCATTTAATAATAATAATCATCACATAAACTATAGAAGTCATTGATGCTTTTTCTGGAAAGTCCTCAGCACGTTTTTGTTGTTAAGCAGGTTTATGTTCTGAAACGCGTAGGCTGTTACCACGTTCACCGTCCTGCATTTTGAACCTGTGCTGCTGGGCTGTGTTTCCACGCAGAAAGTAACGAAGTCCTTCCGCCGGCGTGGATCGCGATGGTGCCGCTCACTGCAGGAGAGCTTTCCTGACCTGCACCACGGACAGTTTTAGTGCTTTCGAAGGCTGGCATCCCAAGCGCTCTGTGAATATTCCCTAGGGGTTTTAAACATATTTTGTGCTTAATTTTTAATTTATGTACTGCTTTCTACGTAGTATTTTAATTAGTGGTTCCTTAAGAGTTAATCTGTAAGCCACTCAGGAATTGAGAAACCGTTTGTTAATGGGGAAACAATTTCATTCGTAAAGGAAGACGGCTGACTGGTCTGTGACATTTTCTTTGCGAGGTTTTTCCTTGGGGGGAAGAAAAAAATCAAGTCTCTGAAATTGCCACGGTCATCATAATTGATTATTTAGGTATTAATTTTACTGTATTTCTTTCCATAAAATGCAGAGGTTTATTTTTCGGCAGGTAATATTTAGCTTGATGGCATTGCTGATGTCTGGCAAGCTTTCTGGGGATATCCTGATGCGTGTGGGAGAGGGCAGTTTCACGTTAAAGGAGAAGGAAACGTCTGCAGTACTTAAAATGGATTTTAGAACTGCAGTAGGCCTTCAGTGGTCAGGTGAATATTCAGCTACAGGTAAAACGGTGTGCTTAGTGGAAGGAGGGGGCTTGTTTAACTTACAGCTGTTCTTGTTTACAGCATCGCAGTAATAATATTACTTTTGGTATTAAAAAAAAAAAAAATCCTTAAACAATTAGCCAGTTTTCTGTTTTATTCTAAGGCTATTGTTTACTAAATCACAGTAAACACTGTTCTTTTATGTCTCACTGTATGAAACTGTAGAATACCCTTCAAATTAGAAATTAGTCAGATGTTTAAACTATGTATTTCTATTTTTATTTGCCTTTCTGTTTTAGTCAAGAATTTCTTTTGCTTGTAGCAATAACATTTTAATGCCGAGAGCACTTTTACACGCCTGTAGCATTTAACCTTAGAATTCAGCTTCAAATCTTACAGTTCTGAAAACTGCTCTGTTATGAAGGAATTTTACTTTACAAATGTGTTTACAAATGTTTGTTTATAAACACACACACCTTAAACACTACATGCAATAAGGAACTGATCAGGGTTGTCTTACTGCCATGGATGCATTGTGTCATCCATCTGTGGAGGTGTTAAGGTTTCTGACTTTCTTCTACATTATACTAAGGTAGATATTACCATTTCTATGTAACAGTTTTAATTTCCTCAAGACTTACAGAATGAATGATTGCCGTGTGTTGGGGTGGTGGTAGCAGAGAAATAGTAACAAACTGGATTAATGTTGTTATTTGTCGGAACTTCAGTTGTTTCTTGTAGTGTGACAAAAGCAACCAAAAGGTTTTACCTTCCCAGAGAACCTCCTAAGCCCTATTGTATGTAAATATAGACTTACAGAAGCCAAGCGAACGCAGCTCTTCAGAAAGTCATTTTCATCTTGCGATTACATCCTTAGCTGTCATAAAGATTAGTATGGCTCTCTATCCACAGAGCACTGAATAAATGAATGTATCAGCATGTAGCCTTGAGGAGCCCAATGCAATTTTCATCATGATAAATTGCATAATAAGCGAGAAAGTGTTTGCTTATTAATCCATAACAAGATTTAGATTGAAAATGGCCTGTTACATTCATGACAGATACAGTACTGACTGCAGACAGATGAAGATGGAAAGAAATAGAGCAACAATGTGTGCAGGGGGTTAAGTGTGCATCTTACCCTCCCGGTGCCCTGCTGAGCTGCCCCTTTTTGTGCCTGATTTACCGTGTACACAATAACAGCACACAGCTGCCTGGCTTCTCTCCCTGATGTTAAGAATGTTTTATGAAAGAGCTTTTATGTCAAGCTTCTGCTTTAAGAAAAAAAATAAAAAAAATCACTTCACATTTATTGACCAAAAAAAAAAGCAGTGTTTTTCTTTTTTCCCTTCTGAATTAAATAAATATCTGAGCTGTTATCCAAAATTCTGGTATTTATAACTCCTCCCCTTTCCCAGATCATCCTAGTCCCCAAAGATTTTACTGGGCTAGCCTGCCATGCCGAACAAAACTGCTCCATTGTAAGGATTAAGAGTATTTTTCTAGCATTTGTTAGGCTTTGATTTCTTGGCATGGATGATGGTAGGGATCATTGCTGTCTGTTATTTTTGCTCTTTGAATTACAAGCTACAGTTTGATATAGATTATGATGTAATGTGCCAAAATCAGCAAATTGCATTCTAATCAAGTCATATGTTTATATATGTGTGTGTGTGTGTGTGTGTACCAAAATAATTAGGGTAAATCTCTTTAATTTTGACTGTGTTTAGTGGAAAACTTTACTATATTTTTATATTCTTAGTGATCTGTGGAGCTGTAGGAGATATAGTAGGGACATCCCTAGTTTTCAAGTACAATGAAACATTTTTAAAACATAGCCTAAACAATTGCTGAAATTGAGGGTTTTAAAGGAGAAATGTGAGCTGGGTACTTAGTCCTAAAGGTAATGTAGCAAGTTACCGCATGCTGCCACTACAGAAATGATTTAAACCTGCAAACCGCAGGGATTTGTGTCAGTTCTGGTTCAGACCTTGGATTCCAGGAGGCTGGAGCTCAGCCTAGGTGAGTCGCAGCTGTACCACACCAAGGGCAGTGGTCCGTCGGCACCCGCAGCCTCTCACAGAGACCGAGGAAGAGGAGTACCACATTCATCGGCTTTATGCCGTGGAGGGAGTTTGGTTCCTCGTGTTCATTCAGCCATCACTTCAAGGCTGCCCATGTAAACAAGGGTGGGTTCGAGGTGTATTGATATAGAGGTTTCTGTTAAATGAGATGGGATATACCCATCTTCCCTTTTTTCCCTTCTGCTCA